GCATTGAAGGCTGGCTCTAAAAACGTTTGACCTCTAAACAAATGTTGAAAACGCCTGTCCTAAAGGTTTTAGCTGATTACTGGACTTCTTTAGTTCTCGCTCTCAGTCTTTTCAGTAAAAACGATTGTTTAAGAATCAAACAAAGAAAATCAGGAACAATTAAAAACATATCTATTCAACATTATTCCCATTTTAGCGCCCATTGATAAAATACAATGTTTTTGCTCATGTCTGTGTTGTCTGTTAYCAAAATATCTAATGAATGAATGAATGATATTGATCCCATGAAGGGAAATTATAGYATGAACAAATGAAACAACTTTAATTAAACTATTCATTGGCTGTACATCTACGTTTCACACCTACACCTCAGTTATCTGACAGATTTTCAGCTAAACTTTAGCTGAGAGTCATTTTAACACATCATGAGAGAGAGAGAGAGAGAGAGAGAGGAATACCTTTTCAACCACCTTCTGTACTCCTTTGTGCAGCTCGTGCACCATGTCCCTCATCTCCAGGGACTTATTGGAGCTGAACCTGTTGAAGTCGTGGTTCTGAGCCACACTCTGGTGGAGGTGCCACAGAGGACCTCTCCAGGCCAGCAGGAGCTTCAGGATCACCTCCGTCAGCTCCTCCCTCTACGATGACAACAAGACAGCAGGCTGCTCATTGTCYGTACAAACATATTAACTGGGGGAGTAAAAACACAGAGGACTACGAAGGGGTTAAATGTTTTGCAGTTATAAAATATAATCTTTATGAGATCGAATTGAGCATTTGTAAAGCTGGCTGTATTTTCTAACAGCCTCGGCTAACTGCTCGTCAGAATGAGAGCAGTGCTGTTCAGAAACACACCAGGAAAAAAACTGTTGGGAAAATTAGGTCATTTTAGMTTTGCAGCTGTGACAATGAGAAAAGAGTTCTTAACATCTGCAAAGTATAAATCAAGTTTGTTTGAAGGAGAAATTCATTAAACTAGAGAAATGTCATTTTCTTAATAAACTTTGATAAAGAAGCAGAAACTGAAGTGTTAAAGCTATAAAACAGAAAATTAAGTAGAAAAGTGCTAATTCTGCTGACTGTAGGGTTTTAASTGTTTGTACTTTAGGAGGAATTACAGAACAATATATTTCTGTCAGCAAGAGGAAATACCTTTGAAGGTTGACTCACCGCTATCCTCTGAGCATTTTCTTTGCCATTTGGGGTAAGGATGTTGGATGTGTGACAGTTCCGAGTGACCCGGCCAACCTGGTTCTTACTGGGCAGGAAGTAAAGCTCCTGATGGAGTAAACAGGAAGGAAAGGTCAGAGGTCAGGTTTCATCCAAATGTCACCGGTGGCCAGAGGACGGGAATGATTAATATTAACATGGTCTTCTCTGTTTGTCTTTGTGTCTTTTCACTGCTGTGACTGGAAAATAAAAGATCAAAGGAACAAATTAAAGCCCTTGCATTCCTTCAAGGAATGCGTATCACCCATTTTACACTGATGTAGAAAATAAATGCGCTGTTCAAAATGGTATGTCCGAATAGAACAGGAATCCACTGGATTTCTRCTTAAAACTTTATTCTCAGTCTTCTGACTCCAATCAGGTTCACAGTGCAGCACTCAGCACAGGCCTCAGCATGAGACCTTGAGCTAGACCAAAACAAAACACAGCAGGGTTACAAAAAATATATCAGGGAAACTAAGTAACTGCTGTTAAAAAGAGTGGGCCAACACTGAAGAGCTACATCATCAGGCCAGGACTCTGCAGTTTACACTCATCTACAGGCCAGGACTCTGAAGTTTAAACTCATCTACAGGTCAGGATTCTGCAGTTTACACTCATCTACAGGCCAGGACTCTGAAGTTTAAACTCATCTACAGGTCAGGATTCTGCAGTTTACACTCATCTTCAGGCCAGGGTTCTGCAGTTTAAACTCATCTACAGGTCAGGATTCTGCAGTTTACACTCATCTTCAGGCCAGGGTTCTGCAGTTTACACTCATCTACATGCCAGGACCCTGAAGTTTACACTCATCTACAGGCCAGGACTCTGCAGTTTACACTCATCTACAGGTCAGGATTCTGCAGTTTACACTCATCTTCAGGCCAGGGTTCTGCAGTTTACACTCATCTACATGCCAGGATTCTACAGTTTACACTCTTCTACAGGCCAGGATTTTGCGATTTACACTTATCTACAGGCCAGGTCTCTGCAGTTTACACTCATCTACAGGCCAGGACTCTGAAGTTTACACTCATCTACAGGTCAGGACTCTGCAGTTTACACTCATCTACAGGCCAGGACTCTGAAGTTTACACTCATCTACAGGCCAAGACCCTGAAGTTTACACTTATCTACAGGCCAGGACTTTGCAGTTTAACCTCATGTACAGGCAAAGATTCTGCAGTTTACACTCATCTTCATGCCAGGATTCTGCAGTTTACACTCATCTACAGGCCAGGACCCTGCAGTTTACACTCATCTACAGCCAGGATTCTGCAGTTTACATTCATCTACAGGCCAGGACCCTGCAGTTTAACCTCATCTACAGCCAGGATTCTGCAGTTTACACTAATCTACAGGCCAGGATTCTGCAGTTTACACTCACCTACGGGCCAAGACTTTGCAGTTTACACTTATCTACAGGCCAGGATTCTGCAGTTTACACTCATCTACATGCCAGGACTCTGCAGGTTACACTCATCTCCAGGCCAGGATTCTGCTGTTTACACTAATCTTCATGCCAGGATTCTGCAGTTTACACTCATCTCCAGCCCAGGACTCGGCAGTTTACACTCATATACAGGTCAGGACTCTGCAGTTTACTCTCATTTACAGGTCAGGACTCTGCAGTTTACACTCATATACAGGTCAGGACTCTGCAGTTTACACTCATCTACAGGCCAGGATTCTGCGGTTTACACTCATCTAAAGGCCAGAAATTCTGAAGTTTACACTCATCTCCAGGCCAGGATTCTGCAGTTTACACTCATTGTCTCACAGTGGTCACAGTGGTCACTCTTTCAGGGATGAAGATGTTCTTATCCTTGAAGAAGTGATTTGAGAAACGCAGTTTTTACATCATGTAAGGATTGTTTGTGGCRATAACTCGATCTAATCAGACTTTTTCTAAGTTATGTGTTAAAAATTATCAAATATTACTTGTTTTTGTTTACCTCTAATCTTGGTGATCAGTATTTCAGAATATTCTCCTCTCCACCTCACCTCTGTCCACTCCTGTCCTCTTAGATTTTACTTGTGTTTCCTCTCAGAAGAAGAGACAATAAAACTGGATTTATTCTCCGTATTTTATCCTTTCAAAGCCATTCTTGTCCCTCTGACTGTTTACATGCAGGATTATGAAGTAAACAAACAACCAGTAATTATTGGCAACAAAACATTTTTCTGCTAAATTTGATAATTTATCATGAATCATGGTGAACATTAATGAATGATTCAGAGGTTATTTTTTTTATCATGGATGACTCACATGTATAAAACTTTTAAATCAATAACTTGTTACATTAATTCTGTCACAACTTATCATTTTACACAGTTTGATCACAAACATTAGAGACTAAATTAAAATGAAAACAGGACAAATGAGACATTTAATGAACCAACATAAATATGTCAGTTAAAATGAACTTCATTTGTTACACATAAAAAAAGAGAAAAATCTCAAAAGAATTTGTTGAAGGAGACTCACAAATTCGGAGTGCAGGTCGTTTGAAATGCCGTGCATCCTGGCCGAGTGCTGAATGACTCGGTCAAACAGGTTGGCCAGAGACAGGAAGTGGCATCCAGCCTGAGCGTTGCTGCAGATGGAAGCTGCCTTCATGCAGCTCAGCTTGCTGCACAGCACCACCATGCCCACCCAAACAGCACAAACTAAGAAAAAGAAACAATATAAATCACATTTGTGTGGAAAAATTTTAAAAAAGAAACTTCTCTTTTTAAATCTTCYGCTCCATCTCTATTTATTTTCCTCGTTTAGAGTTCGAACCTGCTGCTTGGTGCAGGTTTGCTGCATGTTACCTGCCTGGTCTGATGTGTGCCGTCATCCTGCAGGCTGCAGAGGAGCTCCTGTTTCAGATCCTGACTCTTCTGGTCAAACAGCTTCATGTAACCCACCTCTGGTTACCTTTAAAAAGAGAGGGAGAGACGGGAGGGGAGGGGTGTTCACCAGGGTAGCTCGTTTGGACAGTCAGGGGATCAAATGAACATACAGTGGGTAAAATAAGTATTGAACACGTCACCATTTTTCTCAGTAAATACATACTACTACATATACTAGAGGTGCTAATGACATGAAATTTTCACCAGATGTCGGTAACAACCCAAGTGATCCATAC